TGATTTCAAATATAAACACGGACAATTCAGCAACTAGGGAGTAACATTGAACACCATATGAGTCCCTTTGCACAGTTTCAGTTACTATTTTTTACTACCAGATACTATAAATTGATTCTATCCCAGAAAAAAAGGCAGAATTCTCATGTCCAGATATCATGGATGACATAGCCAATAACTATCGAGGTGACGACTGTTTTTGTTGAATTGAAGATGAATTGCGGGTTAGAATGATCTTCAGAAATTTGGCTGACAACGCTGAATTTAATATTATCCTTTAATACTCCATTAACACTTTGAAGCTAACATCTTCGATTATAAAACATTAAAAAACATATATATATATATTTCATTGCTGTTAATAAGTACAAATGTATTACAAAAGTTGTATTGTTTGTATATACAAAATCATATAAAATCTAATTTTTACTTAAAGGTGTATCACAGAAAATAGAACAATACAGAAATGGTAGTAAATTACAAGATATAACAAGTGATATAATTATGACAATCCTAACATATTTTGATTATCTTTCAATTCCTTGTACTACACAATCATAGTCTCTTCTTTAATTTCTTAAAAGAATTATTAAGAGGTACTAAAAATTTATGTATAGCATCATTTTCACCGTTCTAATTTTCAGCCAAACGTCTGTGGTTCCTGCAATTCCACTAAAACTAAGTGTTTGGTGACGTCACTAATTGGAAAATATGCTTTATTACAGTAATAAAGTGATGTGAAGTCACACTTATCTGAGTAGTTTATAAAGGAACACCTTCAATATCCGTCCGTTTTAGATATCCTTATCTCTTTTCTGAATTAAAAACAGGCGCAAGGTAGTCTACAATTAAATGAAAGCTTATGCTAGTATTATCTGTATTGAGAGGTGGTGATTGTCTGTAATTATAATATCTACTACTATAAGACTATTTCTGATAATATGTTTTCTGTTTTAATTTGAACATATTTTCATAGAATTTCCCTCGTAAACAGTGTAGAAGGTACAATTCTTGACAGATTTTGACAAAAACTATCTACAATTTGATATGATTCATCTGCCCTGTTCTTCGAAATGTATAAAACCGTTAGCTTGGAAACACATCAAGTCTCAATTCTTGAAGGATTTTGACGAAACTTACTACAATGTTTTAATATCACAACAATCCTAACGTGAACTATTGTTCTTGTTCTTCGACTTTTAGCTCGAACACACTCCAGACGAAACTTGGTGCAATGAAACCCTATCGAAAATAAAGAAACGATCGAAAACATTTAATGCGAGTTATTGCTCTTTTTTTCGAAACGCGTTCTATATTAAATTGGAAAAAGGCACAGTTATAGAAAGATTTATTTATATATAATCGTAAAATTTATATATACTACCACTTAGAATGGACATGACATTTAAGTCTCAAACTTGGTCAACAAGAGTATAAATTTATCACTTGGTGGCTAAAGAATAGAACCTCTACATAACACAATATATCCATTTAACTAAAAAATGATTGAAAAACGCTTCTAAGCGAATTTCAAAATTACGTAGTTTAATGAATTATTTCTTAGTTTTATGGATATATTGGATTACAGAGGGATTCATTTGAATAGTTATGACAGCAGTTAAGACCACTGATGAACAAAGACTCAAAGAAGTTTAAAAATTTCAAGTTTTTGAGGTCATCAAAAGAGTTAGTAGCAAAAAATTGATTAGTATCAAACTCCAAAGTTCGGCAGCCTCTCTTTGTAGGTTGTAGATACTTGATATATCGTCATTGCTCACTGTACTTCATAGTATTTTTTTTCTCTGAGATATTTAAAATGTGTTATTCGTGAGGGCTTAGGGAATCTGATTATGACTTTTTTGCTATTTGCTGAAGTCATACCTTCTAGAATGCAGGCTGTGGTACAGACAGATTGAGGCCACACACAATATTAAATACTTAAATATTAAATACTCAAATAATAAATACTTAAATATTAAATACTTAAATATCAAATACTCAAATATTAAATACTCAAATATTACATAAATACCTGTTCTGAATCAATGTCAATATCTATTTTAGCCCAGGCTGTTGAAGGGAGGTTACCCGGTATTTTGATTTCATCGTTTCTTTAGAATTATCTAATTTCAGGCAATAATAGAATACTTGAAAGCCAATGCTGAGATTCATCCTTAGAGAACAAAATTAAAATCGTCATTGTGGATAGTATACTAATGTGTACGAAAAACAGATATTTCATAATAATTGATTTAAGGCGCTAGTGAATGAACCTTATTCCTAATAAGCAAAATCAAAATAAATGTGAAATGATTTTTTCTTTGATTGTTGATTTTGTTAACCTTTAAATTAACAGTGACAAATTTGGTCCGAGTCAATTCTATTGTTTTAAAAGGACAGATGCGCCATTTTTTTGCCCAATCATACCTCAGAAACGTGAATTTTTTCGCCAAGCTAATCATCAGTAGTAGTGTTTACAGATCACCGTTGAAATTTGAGCCTTCTAATTCATGTGCATCCAGATTTATCTGCGTTTGAAAGTTAAAAGTCGTACATAGATATTTTTCGTACATTACTGGTAATACTAGAGACTATTTACATATATTCAAGACTCAAATCAACCCCCAAAAATGTTGCATCTGTCTCTTTAAATGGAGTAATGTTACACTATCCAAGTAAAAATAAACCAATAAAATTATGCCGTGGTATACGAGAAATAAATGATGTATTAGTTACCATTACATATAACTGATCACCAGCTTCAAAATTAAATATACCGGACAGAAAGTCTGTCTTATTATCATTATCATCTATTTTACCATCTTTAAATTGAACAGTAAACTTGCTCTCTAACAGCTTCTCTGTGTAATAATTGGGCAACTTGGAATTGTATCGCCTGATTTGATAAGATAAAATGCCTTCTTGTTTGTCTAGATTGGTTCCTAATATAACCTTAAAATACAGCTGACAGTAGAGGAAATACTTTCCTTTAGTACGGATATTAATACGATCATGTGTTATATTTACTCCATTGAAATGACTCAATTTCCGGTCTTTCAAAAGCTCGACGGGACGTTTCTCTTGTACTGTAAGAAAAAACTGTAATAAATATGATAAAACCACAAGTTTAAATTTATTCAATGTCAATTGAATAACGTACAATGCTCAGCCATTGATTGAGTGACTATGAGACACCGAGTTAATATCACAATATTTACTAATAATATAAAGATATTAACAATGTGATTTGTGCCTTATTCTTTATTCTATAAAATAATTTTGAAGGTTTTAATTGGAGGACATCTTGACAGGATCGACTTACATTTATCGTCATAACCACTCATTAAAATATGTGCACTTATTTGGCTGCCTTTAATATAACCATCTCGTATTTCATCATTTCTATCTGAAAATTAAAACAGATTCACTTTCTGTTTTCAATATTTTGATATATGTAGAATGGTATTATAAACGATAAAACCATCTATTATTCTAGATGTCTGACTGATCTTTATAAATATTTGACTGATCAACCATAACGAATATAGCATGTACATCTTTCCTAGACATTTTATTCTCAATAATACATCTTTCTCAGAATTATCGTAAGACGAGAATTGAAATGAAAGTGAAAATATAACCAAATTTACTTATTTTTTCCAATAGTAACATTATTGATCTAAATATGAACCTGTGCGTGTGGAACACAAAGTGTTTTTTTACTAAAATGTGAATTGCGAACTGTTGTCCTTTAATACTAGAAAATCAATAGCATACCTTGTATTTTGGATTCTCTCAGTTTTCTTTCAGATATCTAGATAAAAAAATGTCGAAACAATGAAATAGGTCTCGTTATTTCAAATTTAAAATAGGTGCTATTTATAATGGAAAATGCACCAGATTCCTTTGATCTAAATAAAGTAACGCTTAATAATTGACATTTTGCAATTGAGAAAACATTAAATTTACAGATTTCAAAAACAAAGTTTTTGGTATAAATTATTTTCGGTACTAAAAATACATACATTTTATATTGACTAGTAATCATCATAATTTCTTATGTATCTTCATCTTTAATGATAATAAAGATAAATCAATTACTCACCAAATCCAACAAAGCTTCGGTTGATTGTGTTGTCGAACCACAACAAACTTTCTCGCCATTTTCGTAATCCTTATCTAACATTTTACATTTTTTTTCAGTTTCATTTGGGAATGTAGAACATTTTAGTTTATCACATGGTACACAGAAAACGTCAGCAAGTTTAGCCTTTGTTGATGAAAACAGATAGAGAAGGAAACCAGAACTTGTGATCGATGCTATACTAATGAATACAGAGAGATATACAGTACGGCGCCTGTACTTGTCTCTAATTGATTTATCAGTTCTAGACATCTCTTCTTCAAGATACTAAAAAATAAAAATTGAAATTGTTTGAATTTTATTAAAAAATATCGTTAGATCACAAATTAGATCAGTCATCTTTAATCAATCAAATAACTGTATAAACATCAATACCCTTCGATACAACAATGACCAGATATAGATATATATGTGACATATCTTAAAGGTGGGTTTCCTTATTTTTTAGTGTCAAATTAAGCAAAATATTTGATTTGTTGGTGTTTGTAATGAATTTCATGTATTCTTAATCATATCATTATGTTATTATTGCATATAATTAAGAGTTTTAACCAGTATCTCCATGTATGTACGTTCTGGATAAACAAAAAAAGACTTTTTGACCTTTCTTGATCGGTCACTCAGTGGAATTTTGCTGGCAATTCTCTTCTAATTTAGCTAATTATGAAGTAATTTTGAACATTTGAGACAAACTGGTATTTCTCCAAGTCATTAGAACACCTCTACTTTCTATTCATAGAGGTAGTAGCATTTTCATTTTCATAAAACTCTTTAAATGGTAGGTAAGGTAATATACGCCTACAGTGGCAGTTATAGGAGCTTATTAAAGCTCTGTGATTTATTGTGCTAAGAAACTGATTTTGACAACCAGCAAATTATTTCGACGTCTCTTGGAAATCAATTGATATTTATATATATATGTATCAGTTTCATCTATATCAGACGAAAATCAAACTCCAGGTTTTATCATGCACGACGGTGACATTGTCTCATCAAGGGCAATATCTAAAAGAACTTTCATCGGAACATGGCCGACTTCTATTTAGAAGTTCACCAACTCCTGCCTTTCTGGCAGAAGGACGTGGGCGACAGCGTTCTATTTTAAAGGGGATGGATACAGAAAGAGAATGACTTACAGATTCTAATTGGTCGCTCAACAACGTGCTTTTCGATCTACTTTACAGATGAACCTGTCCGCATGAAGTCCTTAAATGAAGAATAAAATACATTTTTATTGAAGCCTTTACCATCTTGATAGTTCGGTCGCGTAATTAAGGTTACGTAATATTGAGTCGAGCGGAGATAATTTTGTTAGTTTTATTTGTCTCATGACAACAGTTGTAGTTTCTTCCCTTCATTTGATCTGGGTTTTTTGATATTTTGAAATGAAATGAATGGAGTTTTACGTCCGACTTTTCTGCACCACGTGGGCTTATGAAGACTGACAACGCCATGCAGGGTGCATTGAGGGAAACTTCGCCAGGACAGCGGCATAAGCCTGCTCTTTTTCAATTTCCAACTGGCAAAGGATCTTTAACGTGCAAAGTCTTGATATATTTAGATAATGATTAGGATATAAACGACCTTTTCATGTCATAAGTCAGCCTGGATCACAGCTTAAAATAAAACAAAGTGTTCCTCCCATCAACTGATGCAATATAGTTATATAACCTAGAGTGTATACACATTCATGTAGGTAGTTTAAAATAACTTCCTTGTTGCCTATTCATGATTGTATATTTCTTGGTGAAAGTGAAGTGAAAACTCGAATAAGCTCTGTGTAATAGGCCTACACATAAATACATTTATGAACACTTGTGAGAGCTAGTTTTAATATTAGGTCTTTGTTTCATGTAACGAAAAAACTGCGAATTGCCATTATATTTAAATCATCATTAATGTTTAAGTAAAGTATCAGTGGTAATATTTATATAGGTTAATATAATTGGACGACATAATTGCTTATGTGTTTCGAGGATCATACAGTTTGAATTGGCGCGACATTTTCCATGTTGACTTACTACGGTCATAATAAAGATAATAATATTTTATATCGTACACAAAAACATACTACATACATTGTATCGTAGAATGTATCGTTATTTCAAATCCTACCTTATATATCCATTTGTTGTTAGAGAAGGATGTACAAAGAATATTTCCTGCTTGTTTATCGGTTTCGGTTTCAGGATTGGCTTACTAATATAGCCGTATTAATTTAGATATCATCCTTCTCCTAAACTTATAGGGGTTTTTACGTATAGAATTGGAATTTGATGTCTGAACTTTAATTTGCTTACTGAGATATTTATAGGAGATAGAATTATTTTAAAAATAGCCTTTTTGAGAGCAGTCACAGCTCAACTGGTTGTGGCCTACTTTCAATTTGACTAGTTTAAAACTTTCATTGTTGTGATTATATTGAATTATAAGCTGATATTACAGTCATATAAAAATCATATTATACCATAGATTTATATTATATACCTCTGTATGTCCTTGTCCGAATCTTTATATGATTTATGATTTACAGACCAAAAACATGACTGTGGAATGGCAAATAGTTTGTGCACTGACAACACGAACGTAAGGAAATCTATTAAAACTTTACATTTTAAACTGCTTAAAAGTGTCTACCTATGAGATAATTTAAGTCTTCCCAATGAAAGCAAAGGCATAGCATTAACAAAATGGCGTCATGTGATCTGTTATATTATCTGTATGGAGATATGGTGATTGTCTGTAATTGTAATATCCACTATTAAGACTTTTTCCGATAATGTCACAAATACAAGGTAATATTATGGAATAAGCACTTTTTTAATAAAATTATTAAACACATAACTTTTGAACACAAACTACACGTTTCGTCTTCAGATAAAATACTGAGAGAATAAAACATAAAACAACTTATAAACAAGAATAATAGGTAGATCAACAGAGTTAATACATAAAGGGGTAATAACAGTAATAATGTGTTTTCTGTCTTGAACTGAACGTCAGATTTTCGTTTATATTTCAATTTTTACCTTGTAAACAGAAGGTACAATTCTGCTATTTTAAATGATTAAATGCCCTTGTTCTTCGAAATGCATACAATTTTTAGCTCGAAAACTCCATTCTTGGTGAAACTTGGTGACTTGGTTATTATCAAGAATGAATCATATGTAAAAGAAAAAAATCAAAAGTATTTTACGCGAGTTAAAGGAGGGGGTGGGACTCTTATTTCAAAACATCCGGTATTTTGATTTCATCATTTCTTTAGAATTATCTAATTTCAGGCAATAATAGAATACTTGAAAGCGATTGCCGGAATAGATCTTTGGAGAACAAAATTAAAATCATCATTGTGGATATCATATTCTACTGTTCTATAAAGGAGTAATTTTACACTATCATGCAATTAAAAATAAACCAATAAAATTATGCCGTGGTATACAAGAAATAAATGATGTATTAGTTACCATTACATATAACTGATCACCAGCTTCAAAATTAAATATACCGGACAGAAAGTCTGTCTTATTATCATTATCATCTATTTTACCATCTTTAAATTGAACAGTAAACTTGCTCTCTAACAGCTTCTCTGTGTAATAATTGGGCAACTTGGAATTGTATCGCCTGATTTGATAAGATAAAATGCCTTCTTGTTTGTCTAGATTGGTTCCTAATATAACCTTAAAATACAGCTGACAGTAGAGGAAATACTTTCCTTTAGTACGGATATTAATACGATCATGTGTTATATTTACTCCATTGAAATGACTCAATTTCCGGTCTTTCAAAAGCTCGGCGGGACGTTTCTCTTGTACTGTAAGAAAAAACTGTAATAAATATGATAAAACCACAAGTTTAAATTTATTCAATGTCAATTGAATAACGTACAATGCTCAGCCATTGATTGAGTGCCTATGAGACACCGAGTTAATATCACAATATTTACTAATAATATAAAGATATTAACAATATGATTTGTGCCTTATTCTTTATTCTATAAAATAATTTTGAAGGTTTTAATTGGAGGACATCTTGACAGGATCGACTTACATTTATCGTCATAACCACTCATTAAAATATGTGCACTTATTTGGCTGCCTTTAATATAACCATCTCGTATTTCATCATTTCTCTCTGAAAACAAAACCAAACTTACTTATTTTTTCCAATAGTAACATTATTGATCTAAATATGAACCTGTGCGTGTGGAACGCAAAGTGTTTTTTTTACTAAAATGTGAATTGCGAACTGTTGTCCTTTAATACTAGAAAATCAATAGCATACCTTGTATTTTGGATTCTCTCAGTTTTCTGTCAGATATCTAGACAAAAAAATGTCGAAACAATGAAATAGGTCTCGTTATTTCAAATTTAAAATAGGTGCTATTTATAATGGAAAATGCACCAGATTCCTTTGATCTAAATAAAGTAACGCTTAATAATTGACATTTGGCAATTGAGAAAACATTAATTTTACAGATTTCAAAAACAAAGTTTTTGGTTCAAATTATATTCGATACTAAAATATACATACATTTTATAAATTTTGACTAGTAATCATCTCATCATGATTTCTTATGTATCTTCATCTTTAATGATAATAAAGATAAATCAATTACTCACCAAATCCAACAAAGCTTCGGTTGATTGTGTTGTCGAACCACAACAAACTTTCTCGCCATTTTCGTAATCCTTATCTAACATTTTATATTTTTTTTCAGTTTCATTTGGGAATGTAGAAAAGTTTAGTTTATCACATGGTACACAGAAAACGTCAGCAAGTTTAGCCTTTGTTGATGAAAACAAATAGAGAAGGAAACCAGAACTTGTGATCGATGCTATACTTATGAATACAGAGATATATACAGCCCAACGTTCATACTTTTCATTGTGTTTCATTGTCTTTTGGAAAGAGTGGAATAATGAGGACTGTGGTTGTCTTCAAGATGTCTGTACCGGTCTTTATTTGATGTATCTAATGGAACATAAAGCCTACCACTGGGACCAATCCTTACATCAGATCTAAACATGTCTTCTTCCAGTTACTAAAAAAAACAATTTTGGTAAAAATATCGTTTGATCCCAAATCAGATCAACGTCCTTTTATCAATCAAATAACTATATAAACATCAATACCCATCGATACAACAAGTATTTTTTGGAATCATTTTTCAAAACCTTCAAAACCTGTTTCCAATAAACATGTTCGTATATAGATATATATGTGACATATCGTATAGAATATATCTTAAATGGTAGGTAAGGTAATATACGCCTACAGTGGCAGTTATAGGAGCTTATTAAAGCTCTGTGATCTATTGTGCTAAGTAACTGATTTTGACAACCAGCAAATTATTTCGACGTCTCTGTGAAAACAATTGATATTTATATATATACATGTATGTATCAGTTTCATCTATATCAGACGAGAATCAAACTCCAGGTTTTATCATGCACGATGGTGGCATTTGCTCGTCAAAGGCAATATCTAAAAGAAACATGACTGACTTCGATCTATAAGTTCACCAACTTCTGTCTCCCTGGCAGCAGAACGGAAGGACGTGGGCGTCCGCGTTCTATTTTAAAGGGGATTGATACAAACAGAGAATGACGTACATATTCTAATTGGTCGCTCAACAATGTGTTATTCGATCTACTTTACAAATGAACCTATTCGCATGAAGTCCTTAAATGAAGAAAAAATACATTTTTATTGAAGCCTTTACCATCTTGATAGTTCGGTCGCGTAATTAAGGTTACTTAATGTTGAGTTGAGGGGAGATAATTTTGTTAGTTTTGTTTGACAGATCAAGATATCTGAGATATTTACAGGAGGTAGAATTATTTTTAAAAGAAGATCAGGGGATGTTGATAACTGGTTGTACTCTACTTTAAATTTGACTAGTTCAAAATTGTCATTGTTGTGATTATATTGAACTATAAACTTTATTTGAGTTTTTTTTGTCAAAACAATAAATTTGGCTGTCAGTGTGCTTTGAAGAGAGAGAATATACACCATTTCAGAACAATTGATGTCACTAAAGGAATAGACTAGTTTATCACTTCCGGAGAGTCTACATAGCTATCGATATTTCAATATCCATTCTTTCTGAATTTCCATTAGTTGATAGTATAATTAATTTACAGTCATATTTTGGGACATTTCCTTCCTCATGAGAACATCATATGGCATGGTATGGTAAAGAAAATCCTCTTTCTGGAAATAGTAAATACCATATTACGTGTGCTTTTGCACAATGCGCTGACCTATATGTTGTAAATACACGACCACCTTCAGTCTTTCAGTCTTCGGTTAATCTAAATCTTATACACCATCTAATCATATCAATGTCTACATGTCATTTGTAACAAAGCAGTATTGTAATTATGCTCTTATGGTAAGGCCTAGGAAATAGTAACTCCAAAAATTGGGTTTTTATCATTTCCTTTCACCCAATGTCCTGTGACATATACAAATAATATATACAAACCACATAAGAGAATTATTTTATGCATTTCGTTTTTAAAAGATTGAAAGCCTTACATAAATTCCTCTCCTTATTGTAATATATTTGCACTTGTCGCTCCGTAATGAACTAATCAACATCGACAATTGGATACTACATGTAATCTTGGATTATATAATCTACACACAGCCCGTATTTACCCTCTTGGCCATACGAATATTAAAAATTTATATATTAATTTATCTGATATAACATTCATTTACCCACATAAAGGGTGGTTCTTAGTGATCTTCATTTTTTAAAAATAGCAGATTTGGAATCGCTGTGTTCAGTTGGCTTTAAAAAGATGGAAGTTGTGTTTGGACGTGTATACTGCTCTCAACGGGTTTCAATATGTGGACTTAAGCTATGTTTCACCTAAATTTTTGACAAAATTTCAATCAAGTCATTTAATTCAATCGTAAAAGCATTGAAATGAATCTATACTTCATCTCATCTGTGTTGTTAACTGCGGGATGTGTGTATATCTTGTGGAGAATTGCGTACCAACGTCGGATACCAAGTCCTAGAGGATTGCCTTTAATTGGTGGACTTTTTGAATTTTTGCGAGTTTTCGGAGGCAAAGCACACGAGACCTTGATGGAAAGATATCGGAAAATCGGTCCTATTTACCAATTTGGATTTTTAAGCAACAAAATGATATTTTTGTTTTCGTTGACAGATTTGTTAAAAGTGAAACAAGCGGAGGGAACGAATCCAATTCATATAGATTTTAAACATCTTCGAGCTTATCGTCAGAAACATAATTTACCATTGGGTGTTCTTGTCAGGTAACATCAAACAACATTGTATAGTCTTGCATCATTATGCATCGTTATTAGAAGTTTGGCCTACAAAATTGTACGGAATATGATCTAATATTTTTATGACCCTTCCCATATAAACCACTCTTAAAACCACTTATATATACTCTATAAACCGGCATCATCTCTGAACTGATATATTTGAAAAGCATTGAATGTTACGATGTCTTCCAAGCTTTTTAAATACTAGCTTTTCGGTAAGAGTATTAATAAGAGTTCCCATTTTGTGTTAATGTATAGTCCCCTATTTGTCTTACTGGTTGTTTATTCTGCAGTATTGGTGCTGATTGGCAGAGGCAGAGAAAGCAACTTGGTAAAGCATTGTTAAGCAGTTCAGTTTTAAAAACCTACTTTAAATCAGTCAATGAGATAAGTATCTATTTATATATTTAAATAGAAACTAATCACATCACAGTTTTATTATCTGTATTAATCGGCTAAAATGACATGATTTTAATCTGATTAAAATGCAGGTTTCGTTTTATCATTTTCTACAGTTTACTACACTTGCCATCTACGTTCAGACTAGGTTCTTTTGAATAGTGTTCTGCGAAAAAAACTCACAAATATATTTTCATATGCCTTAAAGTCAACTGTAGTTGATTGAAAAATTGAGACTTCAGACAACTTGTTCGAATGCTATCGTCAGTATTATTTTACATCTTTCCATATTTGTAGTAAGCTGTCTAAAATACACTCACCTGGGAGATATGACACATCCCAAAATGTTTTAATCTATTTAATACATAGTGCATTCTGGGCTATTTCGCAATGATGAATGTCTTTTGTAAGCGTCCACGTGCCCACATATGAACACAAGTGTTTCTTGGTGACGAAATATTGAAAGTAGTATGGAGATATAACGTTGTCAAAACTGTAAAGTCGAAGCATTCAAATACCAATGTAGTCATTACAAAATGCAAGTACCTATGCCTATGTGTACAAATGCAAAATGTATATGTAAACTCTTGTGAAAAGTGGTAATAGTCTTTTTAGATTTGATTAACTACTGTGAAATGCCACACAAATGCAGCTAGTATTTAACACTTTGAATTAGGCATTCTGCATTAGTCACTCTGTATTACGTATTCTGCATTAGTCACTCTGTATTACGTATTCTGCATTAGTCACTCTGTATTACGTATTCTGTATTAGTCACTCTGCATTAGAGACACTGTCATTAGCGAACAGATACCTTATATGGAATTTTGACGTATATTTGCATACGGTAAATATTATGTGGGCGTAATAAATTCGTCTTTCCTTCTATGGCCACTAGGATACCCTAATTTTTCGGAATGATTACGATTGTTATGATCAATAAATTGTGATAACGGAAATTTATCAATATACGCGAGCATCTTTTAACCTCACTGGAAATACTTCCATTCATAATTCCATGGGAGAATTTCGGGGAGAAATTGGCCATGCAGAAGCTTTGTCTTTGATAGCCAGTAACACAGGCATGAAAATGCCATTATATTAGAGCTTTTTGCGATTTTGCACAGACACAATGGGATTTGGTTTCTGCCAATTCCACCAAAATATCCCCTACCCCATCACCGACTGCGATTTGGATATGAGTCACTGGTCAGTTCTTAGGGACTACAGGAATTAAATTATTTCTATCCATATTATGCCTAATATTGTCAGATTGACTTAGATGGATTTTTTTTTGGTCATACCTACAGGCTTCGTCTTTAACTGACCAGTAAGACTATTAGGCATGAAAATACCACCAAAATACTGGAACATGTGCTGAAGGCACAAACGGGTTGGGTTACTGCTAATTCAATCAAAAATATTTCCCCCATCGCTGTGGACGTGAAAAAATGACTATGTTTCGTCTTTGACTGGCTAGTAACAGAGTTTGGCTTGAAAATGACATTATTTTTTAAATTTTTGCTATATTTCAAACTCCTGTGAATGGCACTGTGGAGTCTTCCAATTTCGTCCACAAATCTGCCAACCCCCTCACTGTGGACTGTGTAAAATTAGACAAGTCTTTCACTGGTCAGGTCCTAAAAACTATAGCAATGAAATTAAGTTGGTTAGATTGGTGGCCCCAAAACATTCATTCAAAGACCTTCTGAAAAATGGCCAGACCCCCATATTGGATATCAATCACTGGTCAGCCAAATTCCGATAACTGTGTAATGATTTTATTCAATTCATATGGCTCTAAAGACGTTTTATTTTGAATTCCCAAAAAAAGTGTATCCAACGACAACAAAAAGTGAAGGAAAAACGAACTCATTGCGAGTGTATATTTATCAATTTCCGCACGTTTTCGTATGCTAATGAATTTGCAACGCCTGAATAGGAATCTCCATGTATTATCCTAACGAATTGGCGCCTTTTATTTCCGACCTGATGCTATGACATTGATATTCCATAGGAAATAATACGTTATTTGTAAAAGGAATTCAAAACTTCACGTCTTCTTGACTGTTTCCTTTATTTTCATAAGTCGCAGAACAAATAATGGAAGATATGGTAGAGTGGGCATCTTCAGATAAAACAATAGAGACTGAGGATATGGTTGGGCATTACGTTTTGAAATGTATGTCATCTTTTTATTATTATCATTTATTTCTGGCAATTCCAAAAAATCTTCAGTGGTGTGGTGGTTTCTCTCTTTAAATTTTGACCATTTGTATTACATATGTCGCAAGCAGTACGAAATTATTAAAGTTTGACGGTCTGGAATAAAAAAAAAAAACCCTTAATACTTGATTTCATCAAACCTCCCGAATTCTGGTGTATCTGATAAAAAAACCCACAATTTTCGAAATCAGACCCTATAGCTTAGAATTCGTTCATCGAAATATCGCCAACATCAAACTCATTTGAGATCTCTCAAATTTCAAACGTTAAAAACGTAAGAACGACGAACAAACGGGGAAATCAGGGTGAAATTATACAGTTTCATCGGTGAAACAAGGTGCTAAACATCAGGGCGTAAAACTTATTTCACTTGTATTTTAGCAATGGCACGAGTTTTAATGGGTTATGAAGACAAAAGGCATGAAGATGAAACTGTAAACGACTTTACATCTATAATTGAAACTGCCAGGTAATATGACGAACAAGTGGCTATTCCATCCGTACGAAAGTCACTGATACATGTATGTATTACATCAAGGTATTTGTTTGTATTCAAAATATAATTTTAATGTTTGGTTGTATCCAAGCGCATGGGCCTAGTCAAAGGTAATACTTAGATCCCTTACATGATTTCAGGGAAAATTTTAAAGATGCTAAAATATTACTATCAACACCAAAATGTTTATGGTCGTTAACCAAGGCATGGCCCAGACACAGTGGTCGATGGGATAAACTATTATCAATAAGTAAGTCATTATTTCCTTTTTTATCTGTTCAGTCACAATATAATTAGGTGCAAGAGCACGAGTATAGCCTTGTTCAGTAAATGGATCTCCAAATACGAAACGTACTAAAATATTATTCTATAATGTAGCAGGTAGATATATTAACAAGTACACCAAGGATGCCTCACTAGAGTATGAAAACGATGATACGTGTGTTTTATCTGAATTGTTGAAATCTGGGGAATTAACTGGACCAGAAGCTCATATTAATATAACAGATCTGATTTTAGCCAGTATTGACACGGTCAGTATACTTTAACATGTGATTGCCATGATTGTACTTCGAAATCGAAGAATAAGGGGCGTCTTTCAATACAAATGAATAGCAGAATCTTTTGTGTCCCACGAGCATTTACTTGCAGGAATACATTACAAACTATATATACTAATCTTAACAATTCTGGTATATTTTATGTTGTGCTGGGAACTTTATATCTTTTATATTCCATCCGTTTTTATTTATTGTAATGCAAAAAATAATTTACCGGATTACTTTGATTTGGATAGTTATAAACCCTTACTAAATCCAGGAATTGGCTCTACTAGAATATCTTATAATACTGGCTTTTGTTGCACGACAATTCCAGACTTCCAGTACAATACTATGGTGTGTATACGAACTGTCAAGGTCAAAAGAAATACAAGACAAGTTATTTCAAGAAATAGATGAATTTCTGAACATAAATAAGGACCTTAGTTTTGCAGGATTACAGAATCTGCCATATTTAAGAGGAATTATACGCGAGTCGCAGAGGTAAGTGATGCTGTAGATCTTTTAGAATTCTTAACATCAAATGGGAGGTAATCATCTTGAAACTACACTACCAACCTTGCTTGATTGTTTAAGAATAACAATGAACAGATTTGTTTCTGGAAATCAGCTGAAATCAAAAGAAATTGGGAATTATTTCTCATATCTGGAATGAATAACCGAGAATTATGGCAATGGAAGGAGTAAATCCAGCATAGTAAGCCACTCGACTTGCGTTCTACTTGCGTTCCTAACTACGATTACGTATTCTTGATTTACAATCGAAAATATACTTAAATCATTTTCAAAATTGTTTTAAGGCTCCACCCAGTAGGATTTTTTATGAGTAGAATGATACAAGAACCTAGCACAATCAGAGGATACCATATCCAGAAGGGAGTAAGTATGATACATTCATGGATTATTTACTTTCAAACTGGTTTAATTGGACAGTATGTATCGTAGATTTCTTATAATTTTTCCGTATTTGCTTAATGGCATATATGCTGTTACAGTGCTCTTTAAATAACCTTATGCATCAATGTGTTCGAGATTTTGTATTCAGGTAGGCTGTTTTGCTTGCAGTGAACTCTGCTAAGAAAATTTCATTCGATAGTAGTTTTAACTAAGCAAAACCCTTCGAAAGACTACAATCAATAATTCAAGCAATATCTTTAAATTTTACAGAGCCATGTGGCAGGATCTATGTATGTAATGGGAAGAGACCCTGATATGTTTCCCGAACCGGAGACCTTCCATCCTGAACGATGGTTTGGTGACAATCCCGATTTAGAGACATTCATCAACAACGTTCCATTTGGTTTCGGGCGCCGGATGTGTATAGGTAATGTCACAGCTACTTGCTTCAAGAAATTTAGATCAAAAATTTAAAAAACTGATATCTACCAAGCTTAGATTTCTATACCGTTGATGACCCTATCTGATACATTTTACAAATCCTAACCCTGCTGGCTATGTAAACATAAGATCTCCTTGAAAGGGTTAACAACTTTAGAATAGTGTCAATATTTCCTACTGGGTTGGAACACTGTCTTTTTGTGGCAGTGGATTAGTTTATTCGGTAGCGAGTTGGTTTGCGATTAGGTGTCGTGGGTTCGAAAACTCCTCATATATAAGGTCATTGTTTCCGAGAGTCAGTCTGGTGTCAACCCCTCAGTGGTTGAGCCAGGGGGGAAAGGGGTTTTTCGAAGACAAAAAAGGCAACTCTAATTACTAGATTTGAAATTCGGGCAACCTCAGATATTTCGGCAGAATATGATCCATATGGAGTATTTTGTCTTTTTAAGGTCGTAGAGTTGCTGATTTGGTAATATCGTGTTTTATATTCAATGTAAGTATTTGAGCAGCTTTGTCAGCTGTATTGCCAAGTTGCAGTCGATAACCTGTTTTGTGCTACTCAAACGTTGTTAAAATGACATTGTTATATCAAATATGACTTTCTTTCTACAGTTGTCCAGGAATAATTTTATATAATTTTTAATGGCATAAAACAAAAGCTTTACGTTCCATTGTTCTGTTTGTAGTTGGAGAGATATTATACTATCAGCCAAATTACAGACCGAGTAATAGAACCAACATTTCGTTTATTGATGGTGCCTGGTGAACCTATTCAAATTCGACTACAGTCCAGATAAACTTACGATCTTGAAATCAATTTTTTATCATTTCATTATCATGATTGAATGGGTTTTACTATTGATATACCTGTACAAGAACAACTCCTCTATTGAATTCATCTAATCCAGCTGTTGATTTCCAATGTAATTAATGAAGACTGTTGATTATGATATTAATATATATTTCACAACTAATATTAATATATTCCACTTGCTCTGAGCAGGTCTTAATAACGTGTTGATTTATGTCATTTTGTCGCCTGTAATTTCTCGCTTAAGTTAATAACATAATATATACAACACAAGCTGTCGTCTGCTTTACATTATGGATATCACGTGATCAATAATGATAACAATGCTTTGCTATGGAATATTATTTTCAAAAGAAAAATTCGATACTTGAACGTAACCAGGTAACCGTCGCTCTTCTTCCTTGTAACTATTTACTTGAGTTCATAGCTGCAGGAATCGTGCTTAGGTGTTCTGATAATTGTACGAGTGTGAACACCTGTCATAGGAAGTAATGGATTTCTTCGAAACAGTCACTGAACTCAATCAAATCAAGACCATAAGTAAAAGACCACGTAGGGTATGTATCAAATGTATTGTTATCTTCTAGATAAGATAATAGAATGAACAATTAATCTTTAACTTTTAACTATGATATTAGTAATGCTATAGTTTGAAATCGTAATGTTCGAATAGGTAATTTTATTATTTTATAATACTTATTAATGTCTATATAACTTTAGCCTTATCAATCTTTCATATATTATAGATGTATGTATGATTTACACCCAACAGCTTCAAGTAGATATAAATGCATGTGCAATAAAAATAACAACGGGACAGATTTATAGCTAGACACAACTCCAACATGAGAGACGTTGAGGAAGAATTCGCTTTATTTCAATCTAAAAATAAGACGTTGTCTTCGAGAAGAAAAAGCAACCCATACTATCAGAAGAGGGCAAGCATATCTAGTAAAAGAAAGAGAGTTAACAGTGCGTCTGTTGCGACTGAAAAATTCGAAAATTTCGTGGATTATATGTCTAGACTGTCATCTGATGTGCTAAAATACGTTTCAAATCCGATTTATCAACCATCACCAGCAGAAATCAGCGTTCAAACTCGTATGATACTAAAAGACTATATATACCGTAAGTTGGAAAGAAAACAATGCATGACGTTCAAGGTACGATTAAAACCTTCAGATGATGAACTCTCTAATTTTGTGGCAACTGCTGGTGAAACATTGGAAAAACACTACCCTCATGTTTATTCGGATGTTAGTCGGAAAATGGCAACGACTATGAGTTCACCTGAGGTGGTGAAATCAGCTATAACTACAATATTAGAAGCAATATTTCGCTGTGATATAAACTGGGGAAAACTATTATCATTATTAGCAATAACAAGTTCATTTGCCTTGGAGTGTGTTTTACAAGGTCATGCTGAATATGTGGACAATCTAGTAGAGTGTGTAGTGTATTTTGTATCCTATAATATCAATGAATGGTTACAGGTACAAGGCGGCTGGGTAGGTATATTATTACTTATAAGCTAGGTTACCACTTACTTCAACCAAGCGATTCTCTCAAGCGATGATGATGTTCTTGCACCATTAAAGCAATCTCGGTCTGCTGTTGGTTGATAAACATATTTTTTTTATGTGCAAGATGATATATGTTTTTTATTAAATAATACCAGTCAGCTATAAATTACTGACGGAGAAGCCTCAAAGTCAATTCAAAGTCCAAAACTGCAGCAACAGCTGGGTATGACTAGCAAGGACGTATATGTGTACCCTTCCAACACATGTAGTATGTGACTGGCTTTGTCGCACTAATGATATTTATTAATTGGATACTTCATCTTATAAAGAATGGGTCAACACTATAGAGGTTCATTCGTTTTATAATAAAAGCCAATCAATAAAAATATATACGGTCTACTCTATTGTTTCCACTTCAATAATTAACATTACGAACAATAAGATCGATATCTAACGATATTTCAACAATACTGCACCGAACGCCAGAGACAGAGACTGGTGCAGATACCCATAAACTGATTACTGCTTTAATTGATGTTATCATTAGTCTAGTTTGAGGTGTGAAAGACAAATTGATTTTCAGATATTAATCATTAGTTCCTTGCTGAAGAAATTGTTATGCAACAAATATTCTAGACAATTAAAATATTCAACTAATCAAAGGTCCTTTACACTAAACTAATCTCCGTGTACTTGCCTAATAAACATTAATTCGTTAAATCAGTTCGCGTTTTACTTTGTTTCCAAATGGTTAGCAAAGTTATTAAAAATTCGGCAGACCACTAGTCAAAGAAGAATTTTGTTAGTTTTATATAGTTGGCTGTTGTAGTATTCTACAAACATATTCTGTGGGCTATATTAACCAGATAATCCATTATGATACCTCATCAATATCTACCTAAATAAAACATGGCACCGTCATAGCAAATTTAAAAAAAAACTGGACGAAATGCTCTTTGTCGTTATAGTGATTAATACCATAATAAGCTTTCACTCCGTCTTCTCTCTAGGTAAAGTGTCTCCAAAGAGTCGGAAAGAGATCAAATAAAAATCAATATCTAGAATTATTTCTGGATGGAAGATCTGAATCTTAGAAAAAATATTCCCCTGTGATCTTTCATCTAGTTAGAATTCTGCAATTGTTAAATAATCTATATATCACTTCAATTTTTAACCAGATCCCGTGCAGTTGAGAGGTTGCGGCACTAATTAGGGTTTTGTAACCCAACAATTTGTCATTGTTTTCAAGAAAAAGGGTCTTAGATGACACGCTTTGATTGGTTTATAATAACGTCATTACAGAAACTGAAATTGTAATCTAGTTTTAATAAGATTGAATTACGATGAAAACACATTACATATTTTTTTTATTTACAGATGGGATTCAAATTAGAATATGAAAAGAAAAGAAGATGGTCCAAGGAGTTGATTCATCTTGGTGGAGTGGCTTTTATTTTGTTATTTGTTATCAGTTTAATTGTTACTGTTGTTCTCATTAAAAAGTAAAAAATAATTTATTATTCATGGACCTTAATATCACATTATTTTTTTATACAGTCTTTCTTGTTATTCTCGCATCCCCTCGACAAACAGCTGGTTTATATCATGTCAGCAATAACTTTTATTTGGCCATTATGTGACAATCCACCTTATGGTTGAAAATCAGCAAATTAATTACAAAAGAAAAAAAAATCACCTCGCTCAGTTATTATATCCCTTGATCCTGTGTTTGGTATTCATGTGACATTCATTTCAAAGATGTATTTGTGCGTTGTCTTTGCAATATCCATTTTTCTAGAATTCATAAAAGCAACACGTTGTTAAAGTTGTGAGAGTAAAAGGCGAATAACATTTAATTCGATCAAAAATGTCTTTTTAACAGCGTTTATTGCCTGACCAATAACTGAGGGGAAGTAACTCGATAGCTACACGGCCACTGTATTTCTACTAAATTATAAAATACAATAGATTCGCCTCAAGAAACAAGAGCCACAGACCTTAGCCTATTAGTTTCGTTCTTGCCCATTCTAAACATAATAAAAATGAAAATAATATGTCGAAATTTATAGTTTGTTTATAGGTAGACTAGGGATGCACGGTATCCGTCCAATCTCGGCATTTATTATAGCGCCAAATTCATTGACAATCGCTGAAAGTGTGTTCGATCCTCACGGAAATAAGCAAATTAATACCCCATATATCGGTCCACTGTGAAAATCACATATAAAATTTTTTTTAAATTTAAGTAGCTTATATATTGGGAATCAAGTGATCTATTACCAAAGCCACATTGATATGGTTTGATTTATAATTTCTTGCCTTTAAACAATATCTATCTATTTGGCATTTGAATTTCTTGATATGATATAGCTATAATGATATAAATATATACTAATTGGTTTATTTATTCCGAGTTATTTGATTAAGGTTAGCGAAGAAGTTTAAATTAAAATCAGCCAGACACCGGGATTGTTTATAATTATATAGCACAGATTCCTGTATTTGATAGGAGAATTCAATGAAGATTTCTCCTCTGGGAACTGAATGGTCGGGAGGTCGGGTTAATATAACTTAATGCTGCATCTGAATCCTCCTTTTCCTTTACTTAAATCACATCCAGATCATAGACGATGTGACTGTTTCCATATTAATTTAGCAGCTACCATGTTATCATGCCTTGAAGTGCGTATCGAAGGAACTTTTGCCAGAACAGCGGTATGAGCATGGATTTTAGAGTTTAGAGAGCAACATGTAGCACACGGGGCCGCGGATTATTGACACATCTGAACCCTTTTCCCAGGCTATTTCATCCAACCTGCACCACTTACACCGGACCAATTAAACTCACCCAGCTACTGCTTCCCTCCATAACCCTCTGATTCAAAAATTGGTGTGTGACTATAAAGTATACAAAGCCCATTTACAAATATAAACTATACATGACAGAAGGTCTTGTTCTTAAATCGAAGAAAACAACACACTGTCAAGATAATGTTCCTTGATGTCGTTTTAAACATAACCATCAAAACGCACAACAGCATTGTGTACAAATCTATGTACGTGTTTGTATAATTATGGATCTTCTGACATGGGTGAAAATGGATAGAAAAAAAATAGCAGTATGTTATCTTGTAATCAATAAATTAGTATGATAAGTATGATCAATGTAAATTTCAATCATATTATGTAATGTAAATTTAGGTCGACCGTCGTTTTTAAGTGCTGCACTTATAAAATTTATAAGTTATGTACGTAGTTGAAAGTTATATTTCAGGTTTGAAGTGGTGGTCCGTTAGTGAATTCATAATTTGGTTTACGAGCTTGGCGGTCGAGACAATTGCACCTCTAGAGAAATCTTCTGAAAACTGTGTAACACTTAGAGTCTATTGCTTTCTTCTATCTAAGATATCTACATCTAATAAGTCTTGTTTCTATTTTTGTAGACTGTTAAGACTGCTCTAAACAAAAGTTAGTTAAATATCTTTCAAGTATCTATCTAGTCACACGTTTGTAATACCAGGAAACTCCAAAGCCACACATATTGAATTTACCAAAAGAGGAACAATTTTTTAAAAACTTGAAACTAGTATGAAGGTCTGAAAACTCTGCTACACAAGTAATGGATAGACCGAGCAATATTTTTACTGTCAACTAACTCTGAAGGTATTACCAATGAAAACAGTTACCAATAACTACCAATAATTACCCAAAGGATTTAGTATATCTATTGACTCGTTCAATTGACTAATGAAATAAATCATAAATTCTATTAACTCACTTATAACGTGTCGTTTTCTACTGGAGCTGTATCTATTAAACTGGTACTTGACCTTCATATAGTACTATACTTTAAGTGTTATAGAAGTGTAATGTAGAAAAATTATTAATTAGAAATCAATGTGTGTAACTCATTAGCTTCCCTGACAAGGAGAAATCAAATGCAGTATTGAACCAACTAACTAAGATCTCGACAACGGACTATGATGTATGATCTCTTGTGGAATATAAATTCAATTTAGTGGAGGTTTTCAGTCATTCGGCTGACGAGAGAGAGTGAGGAGAGATCGAACAATGTTTCTCACCACAGTGAAATAATTTTGTTTGACATGTATAAATCAATATAAGCCAATTCTAGGATTAGTTTTCTTTTAACAAACTTTCTCATTCAAACCAGTAAAACTAAAATGGCAACTGAACATAAAAGAACTGTGGCATTAGCTGTTGACGAGAGTGAACATTCAGATAGAGCTTTTCAATGTAAGTTAAGTATTTTTCCTTATTTACTCTACAGAAAGAGTGTATATATCATCCAAAAGTGCCAGCTAACCTATTTTTAGAGAAAGCTTTTCTACAACTAGATTCCAGTTAAGGTTCAGTGCACAGATGTGTGGGTTTATTTCATGGAATATTAATGTTATACGACATCTCTGTGAGATGATGGCCCTGAGATTGATGACTGGCAGAAGATAATTTGCCATACAATCTAATATACGCTCACTGACAGCTTTGATTTTGAATAAAAATGTTTTGCAGTACAGTAACAATTACTAGTATGAAATATTCAACTCTCAGTCATACACTTCTGTTGATCTTTTGGGGGCGATACTAAATGATATTACCAAGTTTTGTCAATATCCGGCAAAAATCGTGCCTTTTATCGTTTACGGGCTAAAAATCGAAAGCGGTCAATAACTCCTATAGAACATTTTTCAATTTACAATAGGGTTCATCATCAAGTGATAACAAACAGTCCCACCAAGTTTCGTCAAAATTTGTCTGGAATTGTTCCTTTTAAAGTGCTAAAAATTGAACGCATCTTCAAGAAAAAGGGCAATAGCTCCGTACTAAATATTTTTCTGTTTTTGTTTTCAAGATTCATCCTTGGGTGATTACAAATACTCTCACCATGAAAAGTGCTCTTTGTAGAGCTTGAAGAAACATAAAATTAAGTAAACTGTAACACAGCGATACTGAAAATCTGTACAGACGTGACAAAACACACACTGAGAATGCAAATTGGTATTATACATATAGAGTCTACATTACGATTACGATCACGCTAACAATTACGTCAAATGTCCCAATTATGAACGAAAGTGGATAATAGTTATATCAATATTAGATCTACATAATACAACATTGCATAGCAAGAAATGAATAGCAGTAATAATACAATTATTGTATAATGACTGTAAAAAGTTTTGATTATAGAATTAAACCTAAAAATGAAAAGAATTCTAGGAATTACCAAGAAACTCAGAACTTCTCAACATGACGTATACTGATCTGGGTTACTGTTTAGATTCTTCGCTCTGCAGTTGTCCATCTGTAGACCTACATGTAAATGGGCAACGTCAATATTTAGGGACCCTTTACCGGTTGGCCCTTTTGTTTCCGACGTTATTTTAAAGGAATATTATCTCTTAGAATGGACATGAAATTTAATTCTCAAACTTTGTCGACAACTGTATATATTTATCGGTTGAACTAACCAGATGCCATGAATATGACGAAAATTCCACCAGGTTATTATTGAAACATGCTTCTAGGCGTTTTTCAATTTTTTTTTTTCAATCCACTGATGAACAAAACTCATTTAGACCCATCTGGTCATCTGAGAGGTAGTATACCTTTAATGATACCAGTCCAACTATTCGATTGCCGTCCAATGAAGTATAAGAATTTCTGTGATGCATCACAGTTTAAATAAGTTGGCTAATTGATATCTTGTCGAAAATAAATCTTATGAATATTCTTTAGAATAACGAGTTTCTTTAAAGTCGATTCCAGAACTCAATTTAGAACATCACGAGTTGTTTACAACAGAACTGTTATTCCCTTTATGTGATTCATATGAAATTTGATCCCTTGATAAAACATAGATAGTTTTAAACATGCAAATGGTATTCTATTTTATTTATCTGTAATGCTAGTGGGTTTTTAACGTTACTGAAACATATTATCAGAGATGAAAAAAAAACAGTCTTCGATGAAAATTGTTGAAGTCATTAAATTGTTTATATTGGATATTGGATAGATAATTGATATTATCATGCAAGATACACGGTGTATACCAAGACGGTAGATCTGTCTTAAGTTAAAAGGAATATTTCCTACCGAGTTCTTATGGTAGATATTGTAGAAGACAATCAATAGGATGAGACGGTAAATAGCCTCTGTTGACCACTCAATTATTCTAATTTTGACGAAAATTAACTTATACCAAGAAAGGTTTATTTTCAATCAAAAGTTGTTTCATCGTATTTTGACAATATTGATCTTGTTCTATATAAGCTTCATGTTCTATATGAGCTTTATGTTCTGTATGAGCTTTAGATTCTGTATGAGCTTTATGTTCTATATAAGCTTTATGTTCTATATGAGCTTTAGGTTCTGTATGAGCTTTATGTTCTGTATAAGCTCTATGTTCTATATGAGCTTTACGTTCTATATAAGCTCTATGTTCTATATGAGCTTTATGTTCTGTATGAGCTTTATGTTCTGTATAAGCTCTATGTTCTATATGAGCTCTATGTTCTGTATGAGCTTTATGTTCTGTATGAGCTTTATGTTCTATATAAGCTTTATGTTCTATATAAGCTTTATGTTCTATATGAGCTTTATGTTCTATATAAGCTTTATGTTCTATATAAGCTTTATGTTCTATATAAGCTTTATGTTCTATATGAGCTTTATGTTCTGTATGAGCTTTATGTTCTGTATAAGCTCTATGTTCTATATGAGCTTTATGTTCTGTATAAGCTTTATGTTCTATATGAGCTTTATGTTCTGTATGAGCTTTGTGTTCTGTAGGAGCTTTATGTTCTATATAAGCTCTATGTTCTATATGAGCATTAGGTTCTGTATGAGCTTTATGTTCTATATAAGCTTCATGTTCTATATGGGCTTTAGGTTCTGTGTGAGCTTTATGTTCTATATGAGCTTTATGTTCTATATGAGCTTTAGGTTCTGTATGAGCTTTATGTTCTATATGAGCTCTATGTTCTATATGAGCTTTATGTTCTGTATGAGCTTTATGTTCTATATAAGCTCTATGTTCTATATGAGCCTTCTGTTCTGTATGAGCTTTATGTTCTGTATAAGCTTTATGTTCTATATGAGCTTTATGTTCTGTATGAGCTTTATGTTCTATATGAGCTGTATGTTCTGTATAAGCTTTACAAAATCATAATAAATCATTTACGTTATGACATAAGTACCCTTGAAGTACACATTGAAAGCAAGGTTACTAAACAGTCAAAATGCTGCATTGTTTTATAAACACGATCTGGAAACACTCGTGGATTGGTCAGAAATCGTATTCCTTGGTAAAAGCACTTCAATGACCATGCGTATGTTGAATACAAACTTCCGGTTACACAATGGACCAGAAAAATGGGCAAGAATAACATAATTAGTAAAACGATGTTTTATATACATGTATCAGAATTCCGCGTTTGGAAAATTTAAGCATGACTACAAACCAATTGTTCAATCAGGAATTAGGCTACGTTGTTAATGTCAGACTCTTTATTAAATTTGTTTACAGACTTGTCTAAATTTAAATGTGTGGACTTGACAGAATGACGGATCACGGTGCTAAAACCGGTATTGATCAAAATTGTGAATAGGAACAAAGATACACGAGAATAGCTTATATGTTTAATTTAATTTCACTTTTGAGGTTATCGGTTATTGACACGGGTTTAAGTCCTTGCATAGGATCAGAATATGCATAGGTTAAACTTCACTCACCCCCAAGCAACCCTCCGCTACCCTCCCCTCACCCGACTCATATTTCACACATTCAAATAATGAAAATATTGCCAATGATGATTTGCTTTCTGCTACGAAAAATAGATTACCTATTAATATTAACGCAGAAATAGGGCTCCGTACACGAAAATTTGATATTGGATATAATATCATCGTTCTCCTTGAGAATATTTTATAAACAGTATAAGATTCTAAAGATTGGAGTATTTTACAAAGCTTTTATGTAATATCGCTTTTAACTAAACGCCAACCCAACAGAATAACACAACCGAACACAAAAGGACTAATTAATGAATGTTGGCATAGCATCAAAACATCACAGTTATTTTAAGAGGAATCATCCCAACTAAGTGGAAGAAACTCCTACCTCCAAGTAAAAACAATAATTGCAAACCGACATTGCCACTTGACCTGCACATAATTTGTTCAGTCTGACAGAAAATCATTATTGGACCGCAAATCTTACGGTTCGAGTCAAATAGTCATGAATCATGTCGCTAATCTTATTAGTAAAATCATTGTATCTTGTCACACTAAATAGTTTTAAATGAGAACAAATACGGAAATAAACAGAAATACAGCTGACCCAGTACTTAATCTTACATTTCTTAAACTGATATTCTATCTTGATAGTTTAATAGTTCTTAAACTCATTAACTCGAGCCACGAATATCAAGGCAAACCAATTACAATCAAACGATTCTTTATAAGAAGAATGCATGCTGATACTTCATACATAATAGATATTCTTTGATTACATGGAATTACTGAGGAAGATTCTAGGCTGATAAACATACGTGATTGCATAAACTATTCTGAATTTTCGTATGGAGATCGTCTAAATAAATAATAATTTTGTTGGGTTTGTTTTTCAGGGTATTGTGATCATATTCTAAAAGAAGGCGATCATGTTATATTGATACATGTACCAGAATCATATGATTTCACCATGGCAAGTATGTACATTTTTTTTTTGCATAAGAGACTTGATTACTATTTTTGTAAGGTAGTATAAGTACAGTAATTTATTACCATGGCGGGTAAGTATAAGAAACTTGGGAATTTAACAATGGCCGACAATTGGAAGTGTAACTAATAAAATCCAAGGATCTTTCCTGGCATATGCCGACGTTTAATAGAAAGCTAATAGTTTAACATGGTCATGGTCGTAACTAAGGTATTTTACTATGAGGTAAAGAGTTTTACATTGGCAGAGGAGTGAACGCTTTATTCCCATGATTCACTGTTGTAAAATCTGGTAGGTCCTTTGAAATGGAACATTGTCACATTTGACACATTTTTACAGGTCCAACAGCACTTGATCAATCATTACGTGAATTACAAGAACGTGTTAATAATTTGGAGAAAAAATATCAGGAAAAATTAAAAAATCTTAAGGTAAGTATTTTTTATTATTTGTAAGATGTCCGATTAATGATTACAGCATGAGCTTTATTGATTCACTCTTCTGGAACTAAATTAAAAAGTTTAATAGTCGGCAATATCGTTTACAAGAAGGATAAAACTGTCCTTCTATGATATTTTTTTTTATCAGGATCAGTTTCATAGTTTTGATATGTTATAACTTTACTAATGAACTATTTTGGAAAATTTAGCCCATGCTACTTATGTTGACATGATAAATTTGTTCAATTATACCAATTATACATTAGTATGTTGACTAATATGACATGTTTTGTTCACCGGGAAAGCGATGCGCAGACGGTGCTCACTTGTACCCAAGGACATGATTCTATTGTTTTCTAGAAAGTTTGTTGGCTACGACAAGCTAAGATAGAACGATGTGCAAAGTGGAAATGAATTTTCTTATGTTTCAGTTGACTGGTAAATTTCGAACAGGACATGGGAAACCAGGAGAAGTTATCATCCAGATATCCAAAGAAGAAGAAGCAGATTTAATAGTTACTGGAACAAGAGGTCTTGGAAAGTTTAGAAGAACCATTTTAGGAAGTGTTAGTGACTACATTGTACATCATTCGGCAGTACCTGTTCTCGTCTGTAGACACAAACCATCCCATTGACAGTAGTCTATAGTCGACTAACGAGGCGCGTTTACGTCGTAATATATGAGTTAAACGATAATTTCTCTCGAATGTTGTTAAAAAGCAAATTTTGACCTCTGGATCAGTTGTGTTAATATTGTCTCATAGCCAAATTATATTATCTTTCGTCTTCAACGAGAATTTTCTAGGATTATGTTTGTTAAATGTAATAAAATAAATGATTCCATCTCTTCTTTTTTCTCTGTATTAAATTTAGTAAAAGGGGTTCCCATTATCGCTTTGTTTCTATCACAAATTGGTCGTCATGATAATCAATTTATTCCTTATAAAGGTACAACAGAAACACGTTCAAGAACAGACATGTTCGTTGTTTAACGGTATGATAGTGGAAACATAATTTTCCATTAGTTTTTAATTTCTTGTGGACATGTACACAAAGTGGGCAATTACTGTGAAAGAAGAAGCAAGTTCTGAAAGGCACCTGCTTATCTGGTCATTTGGACCAGAAATGACCATTTTGTGAGATTGCAATTCCATATTCTTTCTTACAACTGGTGTTATGTCTCATTTATTTTCGGGCTTTTGATTCTCGTCACGAGTGAAGTTTGTGAATGTTTTTCGTGGAATTTATAAACACAAAAAAAAAATCAATTCATGCATTCCATATCACAGGCTGCAGTGTGGTAGTGATTCTTAGCAAACAAGTGGAGTCAAATGGTTGGCATAATATTTATACCGATATTCTTATAGATGTACATGTCTGTGGCTGGCATTCCCCGATCGAGTTTCATAATCATACAATCCTGTTCTATTATATGGAAAGTAGTCTAGAATACATTCCATGTGATTTTTATAATGATCTACATTGAAGATTCTAGCTAATCTATTTTAAATTGTTTGCTATATTGATAGGTGGCAGGTTGAAAGGAATGATAGGTGAATATCAAATTCAACATTTTTCATCAAAACGAACATATTTTATTTTCTATCACCAACATACATTTATTCAACATTCACACTTTTCATTCATAATATAATACAATAAGGCAAATAATAATAATGAAAAATAATGGATATGCAATTTATTTGATCCTCAAAAGCAATTTTTTCCAAATACCTTAGGTATTTTATACACAACTGTTTTTTTTATAGGGACAGGTTCGCCATTTAGTCTCAGAAACAGGATTTTGTAACTAAGCGTATAGTGATATACTAAGAAATAGTGATCACAGCTCATCGTAAAAATCTTAGCCTTCAAATCAATGTGAATTATCCGCTACTTGTCATTTCTGGAGACTCTGTCATATATAGAAAAGGCATAATAATATATAGAAAAGTGAAATTCTTAGTTGTTGTTTTTATACATTTCTAGCACTATTTACATATATTCAAGAGCCAAAATCAACCCCCGAAAATGACGAATCTGTCCCTTAAATGAAATTGACATTCTTACTTTATTTTCACTGTAAGATTCAGATTGCTATGATTAGTATTATAACAAAAATTAATAACTGTAACAAATCTCAGTGGATTCACTATTACTTTTATTTCTTCAATTTACAAGCTTACCTGATATCTAATGACTAACAAAAGAAACTAAAATAATCATTTCAAATTATATCCTTATTTTTTAGATCTTTCTGTTACAAATTTCCAATCTTTTATTATCTTCAGACACCCAGCGACTCATCATTAGATACTTTCCTGTCGTTTGATATATAGATTGAATACTACAGATAAATGAGATTACAGATTTCAACTAGAACTGGGAACAGCTCTGAGCATGGCACTAGACTTTATTCCTATAGATTTTTTGGAACTTTTCGAAATCCCCCCGCCCCCTTGCTTTTATACCTACCATTAGTGGACAAAAAAATAAAACTCTTGTATATCTAGTATATACATAATTAACATAATTACACTCCAGAAATATACTGCAGAATCTAAGCAGTCAGTAAATTTCATTAATCATTCACATAATTCATATTATTAATTTTTAATAGGTATTAAATAGAGCATCATTGGGTATCTGAGGTTGAACATTCAAACACTTCTCTTTCTATAAATGTACATGTCCAAAATATAATTCTAACCATGAAATACACTGGTCTCTGGGAATCCAGAATTTATTATAAATAATATACTCTAGGAAGCCAATAATATAACCTATAAAGATATCACTGGTATGATGTCTACCTAATAACAGTCGAGATATACTGACTGCTACTGACCAGGTTAAAACACCCAATACTGCACACCAATTTTGTAAATATTTATTTAAGAAGAAAAAAGCTAGCATGGCTGCTCTTGTAGCATGACCAGAAGGGAATGAATAGGTATCCACAGATATTGTAGCAAACATGTCCATTTGATTGGCAGGAGGTCTTGGTCTTCTGAACACCATTTTTAAAACAGCTACAACTATACAGTCAAAGATTAAAGCTGAAAAACAAAGTTGGTCAAAATCTTTATTTTACGACTAATGACATGATAATTCAGCAATAACTACATGCAAGAAGGTCACAGTACAGTGAAATCTAATATATTAACAGCACATTGGCCAATTTTGACAGATTTCAGATTTTGATACTGAAAAGTGAAAAGGTGGTAGCAATTATTTAGCAGACTATGCTTACTCTTTTCAAAATACCTGCTGGTATTACCATCCATTACCGGTAGCATAAAACTTTTACTCTTGATTTTGCCCTTCTTTGGACCAGATTTTTGTTCAATGGAATTATTATTACATCCATTTAAATTTGAATGATGAATCATATAATTGCTCTAAAAGATTTAAGTCAGATGCAATATGGACACCTTGTGTCTAGTATTTGAAAAACCTCTACGAGAAGTTGCCACAAAAATTTCAAAATAACACACTTCCAAATCTTTTATTTAATACTACTTTTTTTCTTTTAAAGACAGATTTTAATTAGATCATAATAAAGACTATCCAAATCCTTGAGGTAGGAAGCTAGACGATTTTACTTGTTGATTATAAGCTAATTAGTAAAATCAAGGATTAAATCATAAAACTAAAATAATCAGCTAAGTGGATTTAAGTTAAGCCTTTTTAAATTAAATCTCATTACTTAAAATTTATAATTCAATTAGCTATACATTTATGCATTCAGGTGGGAAATTAATAATAAAACTCTCAATTAAGGTATTTCATAATTACAAGTAGCCGGCAATGAAACTGTATGTAAGATAAAGATAGTGAACAACAAACAGCAATTGGAACTCGTGAGGTACATTTACAATGCATGCTTAAGTAAGCTTAGAATCTTATATATCTAATGAAAAAGATTGTATACATACATTTCTAAGCTAACTTTCTAAAGTTTATTCGTTTAAATCGCTTACATAAACTCTTAATTTGCTTTTTAGTAAAGGACACATAAACATAAATCAGAATTGAATACAATTCTTCTAAAAACATAACCTGTTTCATTACAGATCTATATCACAATGTTTATAATGGTTTACATGCTTACAATTCTCAACCTTAATAAAGGAGATTTGTTGTGTAAAAACTGTTTGAAATACTTACCAAAGAATAAATTAACAAGGAGCTCTACATCTTGTTCTCTATGAACACATAAGAAAAATATAACATTTGCAACCAGCCATGGTACACCATGACAACTTATTTCTAACAGCTTCATTAATGGCCTCAATCTACCAAACTTAGATTCTTTAGCAGCACATACTCCCCATGCTTTGGTATATTCTACATCTAGCTTGTGGAGATAATGCCAGAATCCTTCTTCGATTTCTGCAACAACATTCAGCTCGTCAGTAGATCTATCTCCATTTTTCTTAGTCAGATTTTCAATTTCTTGACTGTTTATGTGAGAAATTTCTCCTGGCTTGGTCCGTTTTCGCGCTAAATCTTCTGCCATTTTGTTATCAAGTTTCCGTGAAATGATTGAAAGTATTAAATCAAACAGGTTTCATAACAAATTATTATTTAATCAATTTATAAAGTCAACCTTAATTTTGGACTTCGGTCTTTTTTCACTTTGTTTACAACTCAACAAAAAAGGGAAAATCCATTCGAATAGAATTATGGGTAATAATAGTCTCTAAACAAATTGTTATTGTTATTGTCGGAGATTTTATTTTTGAAAATGAATTGAAACTGTCGTAAAATTTTTACGCTTGATTGACAAAAGTAAATATAAAGAAAGAAATAAATAAAAGAAACACAAAACAAAACAATTTGATCCTTCTTAGCGATTTGTGTTAGAGAGTATTTGGGTTGTCAACAAAGGCGTGCCTGGCAACAGCAGACGACGCAAATCAGCTGTTTTCTGTTTTTAGGATTAAAAAAAAAGTTGAGAGAAAACTTTCAAAATGAAGATCCAAGGTTGTTCAAACATTTTTGCTACTTATTAGATACAACGGCCAAACAAGTTTGCATTTAATTTTGAAGAAAATCTTTAAAAAATTCGGTGGGTGTATCTATTTCCACCAGCGCTCTCAAATTTGCCAAAACGGCTTTGGAAGTCGCAAATGGAAGATCCTTCGGGTAAAATGGGAACAGTTTCGTCGAGAAGAAATACAATCGTTGTCAAAGCCTCTTCTCCAAAAGGAATGACTGAAAAAATAAGGATTATAAACTTAGAAGCAAAAATAGACAACGAACCAACTCATGTCGACGAAAGTTCGTCTGCTGTTTTAAAATACAGAACTCCAAATTTCCGGTAAGCTAATTTTGATTATCATACTTTACAAACTCTTATAGTTGACTTGTCGAGGGCTAGATCTACTAAACTAAAGTCTATAAGTAGCAGATTTAATCTTATTTCATATTCTATTATTGTATGGTATTGGAGGAGACTGGAATACCAAATTCTAATTATTTTTTAAAGACTAACTTTTACATTTCGGATATCTACACTATAGGCCCATCCATATGAAAGGAAGGATGTAGGCTAATCTCCGAGAAATATACTACCAGGTAACCAGGCTAAATTTGAATTCACATGTAGAACTAAGCTTACTCTAATACTATTATTATATTTTTGCAGGGCAACAGCTTCAATTGAAATGGCACCACTTGAAGAAGGTGAGAAATGGAAAGTTGGATGGATTCAAGCTTGCACTGATATGATGTTCCATAATACATATGGAGAGGATGGATTGTAAGTTCTAAGATTAAGATTTTATATTCTTCAATTAAATCATATCATCTGCCCTTGAAATAATATGTTTTTTTTTCATCTTAAACTTACCTCGAAATTGAATGAGCTTACTTGTTATGACTCAATAGCTTTTGGAAAACTTGAAACACTGAACGACTTCTTTGATCATATTATGATTATGGTTGAAAATGTGTTTGTTTAAAGTTGACTTTTTTCTACCATTTGTATCTGTTTTCATTTTATTTTTCTAGTACAAGTTGGGAGTTTCCTGAATTAACAAGTGGGAAACAAATTATGATCAGTGACTGTGATGGAAGACATTATCCATGGTATGGTTCGCGCAATGAAACAGCCATATTTGAAGGCTTTTCAGATGTTTGTCAGACAGCAACTATAACCATGAATGACAATTTTCATCCTCATGTCACATGGCGAAATCCAGCAAATCGAAACCAATCTAGTCCAAATCTAACTCATATTATCCGTGATCAGAGTTTTTATGTTTGGTTAGTTGTATGGAACATGTCCTCAATGAAATCATTCATTCTACAAACAATTCAATGGAGAATGGAATTAGAAATAGAGGTTGATCCATCCAAGAGTTTAGGTCACCGAGCAAAATTAATCAGTAACCCAGTTCCAAGACAACCTATACTTTTAGACAAAAATGTGCCTATACCACGCTGTGCCTTGGTGCCACCAAATGCAAACAGTGCTCAAATGTTAGTATGGAGAGCTGCAAGTAGCCGACCTTTGTGTATCATCCCCCCAGTTTGGTCTGCAGATGAAAAAGATAAGTCTAAAAAGGCTAAAAGTAAATTATGAATTTTTGAAACAACATTTTGATGACCAAAGAAGAAACTAGTCAAGTTAGAAGAGAATAAAAACTGAATTTACTTACTTCAAGCATCAGTATTTATATGGGTTTTTAGGGAATAAGTTTATTATTTGTATTTTATTATTTTACATTTTACAAGAAATCAAAACTTTAAACAAGTCTTTCATTGGTGATAATATTTTAGACAAGTATATTTTACACGTATTATATAGAGATTATTTATTATTTTTACATATTTTTCTAAATATTTATAACTGCCATATTGCCAAACTGTTACTTTATACACTTGATAGAATGAAAGGAAAAATGTTTGTTTATTTGTTTGTTATGTGATAAACAGTACCAGTACCGGTAAGCCTAATTATATCGTGATAGACAAACGTCATTGTGATCAATATTATGTGATGCAACTATTATTGTTATACATACTTATTTTAATGCGATACACATGATTGTGATGAATATGTTATAGAAACATAATTCTCATACATAAAAATATCTGATAGAAGTACGTGTGAATGAAGTGTAGTAGTATGGGTAAAGTGTGATAGCGTGTGTGATGAAGTGTGGTAGATAGTGTGGTTGATGATGTATGTGTGGTAGGTAGTGTGGTTGATGATTTGTGGTAGGTAGTAAGAGTAATGTGTGAGTGATGAAGTGGTAGTGTGTGTGAGTAATGTGTGATAGCGTGGGTGATGAAGTGTGGTAGGTAGTATGAGTAATGTGTGAGTGATGAACTGTGGTAGGTAGTATGAGTAATGTGTGAGTGATGAAGTGTAGTAGATAGTGTGGTTGATGATGTGTGATAGTGAGTGTGAGTGATGTGTGATAGTGTGAGTGACGAAGTATGGTATTATACATTTTGTTATCTAACATATTATTCATTTGCCAATAAAGGTGTTGTTATTGTTAATCTTTTTTTCTTAACCATGTGGACTCCCGTTACTAGAGTTTTTATACGCCCACATGGAAATGTGGACGTATGTTGCTTTCGTCCATGTCCGTCGGTCCGATCACATATATAATAGGCGTGATATAGGCTACAGTTTTTATCCGATCTTGATGAAACTTGGTATGCATGTATATATTGATGAGATCTCGGTCAAGTTCGAAAATGGTAATAATCAGATGAACGGTTTCAGAGTTACTGCCCTTGACTTAGTAAAAACGCGTCAAATTTCGATTGTAAGCACGATAGAGAGTACAGTTTTTATCCAATCTAGATGAAACTAGGTATGCATGTATATATTGATGAGATTTCAGTCAATTTCGAAATTGGCAACAATTGGATAAAGGGTTTCGGAGTTATTGCCCTTGACTTAAGATATTTTGAAAATTCATTATTAAGCCAATAAAGAATTTGTTATCATTTCTGACAGCTGGTAGTGGGCGTATGTTACCTTGCTTGGCAAGCAATCTTTTCAAGAGTCTTTTAAATTAGATTGATGTATTTTCAGCTTCCTTTTCAGAAATTGCGTTTTGAATCTTAGCTTTGTTGAGGACTAAATCAGGTATAGGCTAGTAGAGTAGGACACAAAACTCAATTTCATTTATCTAGAGGTAAGGTAGCCCCTTTCCAAAATTTACCTAAGTAGAACGGTAAGAAAAAGTCCCAATAACTAATTATAATAGTGTAAAGCGAGAATCACATTAGTAACTCGTTTATATACGGATAACATTATCGTCAATATAGCCTGTGAGTAGACCTTTATTAATACCATGCTATTCACTCCCTAATCGTATCATTGTTTACAAGCAAACTATTTAGAAACACAACCAATGTTGTTTTTGGTGTTACTGGAACAACGTTGTGATCTTATCATGTCATAGTGACATGCTGACCATATGACTTTCGTACATGATTTAATATGCTGATAAGATATCTGTCTGTATAAATAAAGATCAGCAATGAGACCTTTTATCGGACGGCACGTAATCAACATGTTCCTTCTTTTGCTGGTTCTACCGGGATTGGTCGTAGCACAGAATCTTCTGCAGAATCCTGGTTTTGAAAGCACCAATAGTTGGAGTTGTAATTTATGTACTGGATCTTTGTCTTCAGATAAGCATGGTGGTTCTCACAGTTATCACGTTACCAAGAGGTAACGACATTACATATTTCATAGACTTACTGTAGAAAACATTATTGGAAAATGTAGGTAATTTAAGTTGTGCAAAAGCGAAGATGGACTAATTGCACTAAAACCTTACAGAAACCTACCAGGTATTCACCCTTCCTGGCAGCTGTCTGCTATTTGATTGCCTAATTCCTTATGCAAATGTTTCATAATAACTCTTGTTGCTTTCCAACTTCGAAATTCGAACAAAGATTTTTCACCCCTGCTTTAAGAGATCACGTATTTCAATGGTTTATTGAGTCTCTTGAATTACACCTTTTGTATTTTTCCATTTATGCCATAGACAACATGATTGGTCTGGGGTAGCCCAAGAAGTACATCCCCAATCTGGGCAATTTTACTACTTTAAAATATGGGTAAAGATACTGAATACTGCTAATGGTAAACAATACCATGAAATACAGAGCATGTTAGATATAGTAGATAATAATGGTAAATATACCAACAATACTTTTATATACGTTTTAACTTATTATTATGCTAACGGAATTCTTATACATACACAACCTCAAGAAATTTGATTCTTATAAGGCCTTTATTACTGATGAAAAACAAAAAATTAAATTATTATTTTCCATAGACTCACTAAATCAGATGTTCCAGAAAATGGAAAAGTCGACGTCTTGGTTATCAAATTTAATTACGACCATTCTTTTTAAGGGAAACATAAGTATGGCATTGCTGGGACAAGTAAATTTGTCAAACCTGGACAATGGCAATTATCAAATTTAATTACGACCATTCTTTTCAAGGGAAACATAAGTATGACATTGCAGGGACAACTAAATTTGTCAAACCTGGACAATGGCATTTAATTGGTGGAGATTATCACATACCAGTCAATAGTAAGTTTTCTTATTTGCGAATTTAAAAAATATTTTAAATACCCTTAGAACACCGAAACAAATAATATTTCATTATAAATTGTTCTTTACAACGGTCTTCAAAGGATGCTGTAAAATCCCACAGTACAAATTATAGTTCGCTATATATTACAGTGTAGTTCTCTTTCTGGCAGTTTTAACTGTACATTTCATATGGATATGGGGAATTGAGGTTCTAATGTTATTTTGTGGGAAAATTTCTCAGAGCTTTTTTGATACTATTTCTTGATTCTTCAAATTCCATTCCAGCCAAATCGGTGAGATTCTACGTACAGGTTCCAGAAGTGGGTGTAAATTATTTAGCTGATGATGCTGAAATAACTCTAGTTCATCGGATATCAAACTTTGTTGGTGATGCCAACAGTCGTATTGATCATCTGAGGAAGGCCAACCTTGATATCAGGTAAAAGTTATGTAATTATTTGAAGAAGAAATACAGGAATATATTTTCACATTCTTAATCACAAAAAGTTATCGTCTTAAAACAGTAGTCAATATATTATATTATTCAATTGGATTTATTTTCATCATAAGTTAATACAAATGTGTGTATCATTATTTCAGTTTACAAGGAAGTAGTTCACCAAGTGGTCTAAAAGTAGAGGTAAGATGATGAATTGGTTGTTATAATCTTTTGTTATCACTTAAAATATTGCTATTTATCTCCATTTATGCTGCCTCTATTCATTAATCGCTGTCAAATCGCATTAACTGCGTTGTCTTTTCCGCCTATCTATTTATTGCTTCTATTATTATTATATTATGTTGCCTTTCAGATTCAACAACTGAAAAGCGAATTTGGATGGGGTTCGGCTGTAAATGTTAATAATATCCACGATTCAGCTCATCACGCTTACCAGAAGTTTTTCTATGATACTTTTGAGTGGGCTGTTTTGGAGAATGCTTTAAAATGGCCAGCTTTAGAGGGAAGCAAGGTGGGTACTAGTCATTGATCATAATCCCAGATTCCCCCTGTAACAAAGTCCACAGACAAAATGTTTTTACTATTGTATCATGGTCAATGCCTGTTTTAAACTTTTTTAATCTTTTGTCAGTGCTACTGAACATCTGTTTGACAGTTCTACTGAACAGTCGCGTTTGACAGTCTTACTGAACATATTCTTGACAGCTCCACTGAACATCTATTTGACAGTTCTACTGAACACCTGTTTGACAGTCTTACTGAACATCTTTTTGACAGCTCTACTGAACATCTGTTTGACAGTTCTACTAAACATCTGTTTGACAGTGCTACTGAACATCTGTTTGACAGTGCTACTGAACATCTGTTTGACAGTGCTACTGAACAAATTTTCCTAACAGCTTGAACATAGGTTACATCCTAAGTTCATCTACTTTCAGGGTCATTTCAGTCCAACAAAAGCTCTACATGCCGTTGATGCTATGTTAGCTAAAGGGTAAGTATATTGTTATCGAACAAATATTGAGGAATTTCAATTAAAGAGAGAAAAGGTAATCAATAATCAAAATGCAAATGGTCTGCACGTTATCATTGCATAAAATGTGAAACTGAAAATCAAATGCAATTTAACGAAGAAATACTTTGAAGGCTTGAACTGAGGTTACATTACCCTATTCAACTCTATAAATTTATCTTGCAGAATAAAGGTCAGAGGACATAATATATTTTGGGGTGGTGGAAACAAGATTCCACGGTGGCAGAAATCGATGTCTGGTGCAGAACTGAAATCAGTATTGGAAAAACACATCCAGGATATGACTAAAACATTTAAAGGAAAGTAAGGCTTGTTCTTGTATTAAATATTGTGTATATTTCCATGATCTTAGTATTATTTCAGGCGGACAAAAAATATGCCGATGGTGCAGAAAACTCACCTGTGTGATCACAAACTAACAAACTATTTCGATAACAGTTATGTGTATCTGGTTGAGCGTACAGTGAAAATGTCCAATAAGTGTTGATCGGTTATGACAGCAGATTATTATAATGGTCTCTTTCAGATTTCAACACTGGGATGTAGAGAATGAGAATATCCATCTACATTACTATGAGGATATACTTCATGATCCAGATATCACCCAATGGATGTTTCGAGAAACACATCGACTAGATCCACACACTAAATGTTATTTAAATGATTACAGTGTTGTTAGTAGCAGATTGTCAACTTTGGTAAGTTAAGAGTTAACATAGGGGCAGGCATTGCGAATAACATTAGATTAATTATTTATTCGTATTCTTAACAATTCCTTCCATCACCAAGAGGGAGCTGCTTCATCAAGTTGTATCCGGTTTGATGTACATGTATTTTGTTCTGAATAACTACAATTTGTTTTTCAGGCCTATCTTGACCAAGCTTTAAAATTCAAAGCTGCCGGTGTTCCAGTAGGTGGTATGGGAATTCAAAGTCATCTGGGAAAAAACCCAGATCTTACGATCATTAAGGTTAGAAAATTAAAAGTAAACACAACTACATTTGGTATAAAGCATGATGATGGGTGGGCGAACCACAAAGATTATTCACCTTATCATAATTATGTTCAATGACCATCCATCTCAGTTTGTTAGTTTGTAGATTTTGTCTTGGCGTACTATCTACGACACTTAATGAATCATATTGTAGAAAAGGCTTGACGAGGTCGCCAAAGCGGGATATCCCATCTGGATAACAGAATTAGATATTAATGAATCAGATGAAAACAAGAAGAGTAAGAATTATGAAGATGTTATGAGACTGTATTTTAGTCACCCGGCTGTACATGGTGTTATGTTCTGGGGTTTCTGGGATGGTCGACATTGGAGACCAAGTGCAGCTTTAGCTAATGGTGATCATGTTACGGTAAGCAAACAAAAGGCGGTTTCAATAAAGAGAGGAGAGTATCAAATAAATTCTTCATCCAAAAGTATCTATTCCACCTGTTTCAAATCGGCACTACGGGGTTATAACAGTTTAAATTTAAGATACTTAACAAAAAAACACAAATGAATAATTACAGACTCTGAGCCGTTCGAATTGTTCAAATCTGTAAGTCAAAACAATGGAAACACTAGAACTCCTTGCATATGACTGACAAAGGAATATATCTAGCAGTTGTGTTTCATTCGGCTATTTCTTAACCCATCACTCTTTTCAATTACAGCCAAATGCTGCCGGAAGAAAAGTTCAAAACCTTTTACAAAAGGCATGGAGAACCAACGAGACCCGTGATATTCAACATGGTCAAAAACTTCATATTCGAGCTTTTAAAGGAAATTACAAGCTATTAGTACATCATAATGGTAATATGATACATTCTCAGAATTTTAGTCTCAATTCCAATGGTAACAGTTTAAATATCAACCTCAGTGGTTCCGGTGAGTATACTCAAATTTTTGTTGCATTATGAAAATCTCAATCGTCAAACTCACATGCGAAAATATTCTCAACCAATGAAATCAAGTATTGATGTTTGATTTTACTGTTAAGATATTATTGTCAACGTCCAGTTTAGAAATTTCAGTATGCTTTCGTGTGATTTTTACATTATGTACCAAAGACGTGAACCAGAATAGGTGGATTTAAATATCAATTGCAGCTAAATAATAACCAAATTTCATAGCTTTAGTTGGCTAGTCTTAAGAGTCTGGATCATATGGAAAACTAACCTGACCTAATCGGTACATTTGATTGTAATCAGTTCCAATTTAATGATGGTTATTTCTATACTATCTTTGTATTTTTATAGTTTTTCAGTTTATTATTATTATTATTATACCAATTTTCATCAATATCAACAGAAAATTGTGATGTTTATATAATTTCAGGCACCAATCCCCATGTCGACCATGTTTTAATTGGTTAACAACATTTCAAAAAGACTGTTTCTTATGATTTGGATCAAAGAAATTCTTTCAAACAATGTACATTAAAATGGATTAATAAAGGGACATTTTGAACTTTGAGAGTAAGTGTCACATGCCATTGTAAAACACAATCAGCTTACTCTTAATCAGAATGACAAAAATACGTTGTTTCTACGAGACTTATGCCACATGCCCACACTCGTTTAATACAGTTGGATAAGTACTGGCAGGAGTGCTGTTATCGGGATCACATGGATGCACAGGGGAACAAGCTGCTACGAATCAATACTCCAGAAAGATTCCTAAGCTACAGTCACTCTTTGAGACAGAAAATAGTGGGCGTATAAAAATACGTCTGGGCAATATTATAATACAGGCAAAGTATAAATATCTATAAGTTGATTAATTATATTTCATGATTATGTAAGAAGAATACACAATGATTTACAAAAATACCGTAGATATAACAACATTACTTATTGTTATCTATAACTGGAAAATGATGAGGATGTTCTGAAATAAACAAAACACAATAAATAAGTTGATCACATTCCACGCTTATTAGTTAACTCCCGAGATTTCATTTTGATAGAAGCTAACACAATCATACCATTAAGAGAAGGAAGTTAATATATATATATATAAACACAACAAAATTGTTCAACTACAATTTTTTCTAGACTGCCCTAAGAGTCGAAAAATTTTGAAAATTGCTTAAAATATTACTGTTTGAAGACAATTTCGACCAATTGATATTGTTTATTGTTAAGTCTCTAACATTTCAAACTACAATTTATAAACTTACCCAAATGATGGAGGATTATTTGAACTTCCAAAGGCTGAAATCCGAAGTATTTGAACATGTAATATTTACATCTAAAACCTAATTTACAGATAATCAACAGATAAACTAACAATGCTCAATTTCATATCACAGTAATGCAAAAAAAACTGATGGGGTACACATTTTAAGATATACTGGAAGATGAAGTGCTGCGCATTATATATGCAATTATACGGTACATGGAATTTCAGATAGTAAAGAAACAATTAGCCAAGGTAGAATTTAGACAAACATTAAGAGCACATTAAGTCATTCCAACTTTCAGCATTTTCATTGCTTGAAGAACTAGAGACTGTCCACAATCTGAAATCACTAGCATCAATATAAACATTGAAATTTCTACATGTTTACTATCAAATATAGTTCCATTTTGTCTGATGTCAGGATAGGCGCTGCCATAAACAGAGAGGTGAAAATATTCTTTATTTACCTGGCTGTTGTTGACCTCCAAATAAAGGACTTCCAAAACTAGTTTGACTTCCAAATCCACTGCTTGACTGGCCTATAGATCCAAATGTTGGTACTTGTGTATTCTGAGCTAAACTACCAAATGTCGGACTTGTAGCTGCTGTATTAAATCTTAAATATAACCCAGACATTGGTAATCATCTTCCATATTTATTTACCCCAATTGCCTGTATCAAAGCAAGCACTAGACACCCAACTTTATTACATATAATTTTTTTTACCAAAACTTGTCTGTTTAAAAACAAGCAATAGATATATATTTACAACTTCTTATGTCTGCTTAAATTAAACTTTCCCTTGACATTTTATTGAGATTGATATATTATTGTAGCTATTAAGAAATAAATCTCACCCACTAAACCCAGTTCCTCCAGCACTAGGTGATGTTGAACCAAAAGTAGCGGGAGATCCAAATGTTGATGCAGGACCAGCTGGGGATCCACCAAAAACAGAGCTTGAACCAAAGGTTGGTCTATTACCAATTCCTGGTGAGCTACTACCAAATGAAGCAGATCCTCCAAAAGCAGGAGCTCCACCAAATCCTGATGTTGAAAAAAGAAGTGAAAATTTCACATCCTATATGTTTACATCTTCTTCTGTTTTAAACTCACAAATATGCGCTGGGAGTCGAGAGGTTACTCTCATTCTATATTGAGATAACAACTCCTCTTTACAATTGAATCAGAACTAAAATCAGCTTAATTCGATTTAATCTATAATTGAATATTGGAAGAACAAGATGAGTCACTGGATTACCAGGATGGGTAAAATAGGTAGACATAGAGAATGCATATAAAACTATTTTTTAATGTTGCCACTTCGTGTTTTCCAGTTATAAGCTTCATATATCCAACAATACATACCGGATTGTCCTGTAGAAGCTGAGGCACCAAATCCAGTAGAAGCTACACCACCACTACCAGTAAAAGTACCACTACTACTAGTAGCACCAGAACCAAATACTCCTGTAGAACTACCTAGCCCACTACTCTGACCACTGCCAAATAAATTTCCTACAAATAGCAGCAAATTTGTGTTTTTTTTAATAAGAACAAAATCATGAGAGATACTTAAGAATGGTAAGATTCACAATGTTTCTGAAATACAATAGTGTCAAAGAAAGTTGAAATAAAGTCAAACTAAATCATCCAGAAATGAAAGTAATCTAAGCAATTCAAATACCATTAAACTATTACCTGTTTGCTGGGTTGAGGTACCAAAAACTTGATTGCCACCAAATACATTAGTGTTAGCTTTTTCTGCACTTGGTTGACCTCCAAGACCACTAAATAACCCTCCACTGCTGCTATTTGTACCTCCAAACGCAGAAGTCCCAGAAACACTTGTAGACGTCTGTTGACCGAAACTAGGTGTGGTGCTAAAGGAAGATATATACAGTGGTGTAACCTATTTTCGTGGATATAAGGATTCAACACCGAATTTCGTCAAAATTAAAAAAAACAAACAAAAATTAGATGTCTTAGATGTTTCCTCAGATATTCTACAAAATAATTAAAATTGGTTTATTTCGATTTTCTTTATGAATCCTTCACTTTGACCCGTATTTCATGAGCAACCAACTCGGCAACGGCGGCAGAATGTGTCACCTATTTTCGTGTACAATGTTTGATCTATAAATAAATCTAGAAAAACATGTTGTATGGATACCGGGTGGTATAATTAACTTCTCTTAGTATTTATCTTTAATATCAATTCATTACTAGTGTAATTATAACTAGTGACAATTCCTTCAAAGAACCACGATTTAAAAAAAAAAATAGTGACTGACAAAATAAGATACGTAGCGTGATTTATTGCTAAAAGTCACTGAAACAACATAAGAATATGGTCCACTTTGTGTTCCATAGAAATTTTCTGCTGACACGGAATCCGCTAGTTGATCACGTGACTTCATTCGTTGGACTACATTCTAGCAGACAACACATGGAATTCAGATTACCGCTTGGGATTATAAGGAAATTCGGCCGATAAAAAATGGTGACGTTTGGTAATAAGTGAAATCCGCCATTTTGTATTTGTCAAGTATACATTAATACATTTTACCTTGCTTGAAACTAATGGATTCATTCTACTAGCTGATATTGTAGAGAAAACCCATTTTTATCAAAACAAACTAATGCGGAGGTCGCGCAAGGTTGCTCATGTAAATTATTAATCCTTTCCGGAAATCCACGAATAATAGGATTCCACGAAATTAGGTTACTTGACTGTACATTGATGAATATTGATGAATATTGTTGAACAAGAAGATAAGGGCTTAGAAGACATCTTAAAAGTAACAATTGATGTTTACGCTTTCTCAAAGCACCTTGAAATGTCTGTCAGCTTGTTGGAGAAATGAATATAATATACTCAAATTTTTCTTTTTAAACTTAACTCTAAATTTCAAAAAAAGCTAAAAAAAAATTGAAATAATGAAAAATTTACCTTTGTGCACTCTGTCCAAATGAACCAGTACCAAAAGTACTTGAGCTCTGACCAAAGGCACTGCCACTTTGCCCAAATGAACCTGTACTCTGACCAAATGTACTGGTACCTTGACCAAAACCACTTGTACCTTGTCCAAAAGTGCCTGGTGATTGCCCAAAACTGTAATTAAAAAAATAGGATTATTTAAATATATATTACTTCAAATTTATTTTCATCATAGTTTGAGATAAAGTATTCTGATATTTTACTACTATTGTATGTGAATATATCTAACAATTAAACTCCACAGTGAGATAATATATGAATCTAAAAGACAGTCTTACCTAGATGTTTGTCCAAATGCTGTGGAACTTGATCCAAAACCAGTGGTAGTTTGTGAGTTTGATGAACCAAATGCAGAACTATTTGTAGTTGTTGATTGTCCAAATGAAGGTGTCGTAGTGGACTGAGACATGGAGTTGCCAAAAACAGATTGTGTTGATGATGTTCCAAAAGGGATTGAAGTAGACGCATTGCTAGTGCCAAACAATGATGTTGACAAATTTGTTGTTGTTGGTGCATTTGACGTCATACCAAATGGTGTTGCAGCTGGCTTAGTTGCTAATAAAGCAATAGATGTGGAAGTTGATGTTCCTGAAGATAATTCACTGGATGTAGTTGCTGGTGTTGTACTTAGTGAGCTAAAAGCTGTTGCAGCTGAAGTCGGGTTTACTGATGAACTAAAAACTGTTGCAGATGGTGTTGCTGAAGTCCCAAGGGTTGGTTTACTACTAAATACTG